TTCTCATTTTCGCACCTTCCACAGTGGATGTATGCATAGAAATGCTTATATGTGAATTTTTGCGTTGATCAGACCCATAGCTCGACGGGATCTTGTTCGAGAATGCAAGAGTGTTTAGATCTGTTGTTCTATGTTGCACTGCGCATGCCATCTGCCTTATGTTGCACGACATCTGCAGCCAGTCTTTATGACGGTCTCAAAAGAGCCTGATGCCTCGGATTTTTGTCGATCTGGCCTGCTGAACCTGAGTCGGGGGTTGATCCCTCGAAACTCCAACCCGATTATTGCATGGTTGTACGGGCTTCGTAGGATGCTTCCCTCGTGTCGAAAGGAAGGAAAATGTTAGTCGTTTTTTACGATTGTGCTTTTTGATGACGTCCCGGAGTTTTTTGCAAACTTGTTCCGATTGATTGGCATGTGGACTAACGGACGCACCTCGATCGGGGGCCAGCCTCCCGTGTCTCCCACGCCAACGCGCCCCTTCCCTTACAACAAGGAAAGGACACGTGTTTGCGAGTGGGACGTACGAGAAGTTATCGCACGGATCGAATGGTGATATTACTTCCCTCCTGAAAATCGTTGCTCTGGATTGGTGGACGCGGGCTTTGTCATTGCCGATACGCACTTCCCACCTTACTCAGTATTGTTGCCATTTAACGAGCTGATCGTCATTCCGTGGACGGTAGTGGCGCCTCATTGACCTCGAACTTTGTGCACTGAGTGTCAGCGTTTCGGTCGTTACGAATCAAAGGGTTTCCATTACCGTATACGGAGTGAAGACGAGCACAAGGAAAAAACCACGCGGTTGAGACCCTCCACGTCAGACTCGGAACTGGCACACGTCGAGACTTGATACGGAACACGCGGAGTGTACCGAAGCCCTTTCACTCTAAACGAAGAGCCGTAGCGCGGTGGGAAGTTCGACAATACTTTTTAGATTGAATTTGGATTTTTCTCTTTTCTCGCTGTGCCCGCGCACGCATTCCGCGACGCACGAAAGCAACCGACTTACTTCATCGGACCAACACGGGGGATTTCAGTTGTGTCTGTGTCCCCACACTCAATTTTCCAAAAATCCTTGGCACACCCCATCTTGCTGTTTTCCTAGGCCTCCTTTTCGCACCCTTAGCACTCCGAACGGAAGACAGCACACTGAGCACAGGGCGTGAGGTTAGCGTGTCACAATCGAAGAGGTAGGTTGGCCGAGGGCGTTTGCTCATTCGTTGTAGCATAGGTACGCATGGTTGAACGCCAAAGTGGACCCGAACGTCGTCCGTCCCTGGGGCGCTGATCTCCGAGGAATCGGAACGTACGCCGGTCGACTAGGATGTGATATTTCAAGCGTAAGGAAAATTTCTAGCGATCCTAGTCCCTTCTCTCAAAGACAATCAAAAGTTACTCCGACAAAACACGTTCAAATAAAGAAGACTCAAGTCAACGTAAGTTGACTTATCTTCTGAAATCAACCTATATATAATACAAGCATACATACGACAAAGGTTGACTTGACTTCAAACAACACTTATCAATAAAAGATCACGCATGACCAATACACAAGGCGACTCTCAAATGACGTCTTACCAAAGTATCTCCACTCTGCCTGCCAAACGGCTGGGCTGACACAGTTTTTCGACTTGATGAGATGCGTTGCCAAGTTCTTTCATTCCATACCACACTGACTGCTAGCAAAGAAGTGTTAACATCCCAGCTTTTAAGCAAAGTTAAGATGCTATCGCTCTAGTGATGACTATGCTTTCACTCTAACTTTGGTGTGAATGACATCTGCAAGTAATCCGGCTGCCACTATACAAGTCAGCGATCGATTTAGACAACCGCTACACTGGTTACCCCGCCGAAAACGGGTATCCGCTCTCAAATTATGTTGGTTGCCTTACCCTCCTGGTCCTCATTGACCCTGTTGGGAAGGGTCGTTCTCAGCTCTAGCTATCCAACTCTTGCTCACCTTATCGACCCTATTGGTCCTCGTTTCTTGTGGCGAGACCAACCACGATGAGAGTGCCTAGCCGCGCTCTGTTCCAACTAGTAACCATAAACCGAGCTTTTTGTGGCTCAATTCTCCATGCACAAGTGACCCCTAAGACGACCACTAAAGAGTATGATATGGCAGTTCCCCTTAGCGCGGTGTCGGACCAAATATTTGGCCATGCTTTTGCATTCGACACAGGTGACAGCGTCGGCTACCATGACGGAGTTCGTATGAACTTAGAAGTGTTCACGTTTTCACGCAACACTTTGGAAACAGATTTCCTCGACCATTGAGGCCGAGGCAAATCGGTGAGAAAAATTTCGAGAGTATATGCGCGCGTTGTTATAACGCGCGCCGTGATGGTTAGGATTAGTAGTAATACCCTCCGACCGAAAAGGTCGA